GGCTGTTTCTGCCAGTATCCTTTGTGGGACGCTGCGATTAAGGAGTGCTGGAGACGTGTGAGAGTCTGTAGCATGCAGTACAGTGCACCATACGCTGCCAGTGGGATCCTTTCCTTAAATAGGGGCTTTAAAATTTTTTCTGCTTAATTTCCCTGCCTAGTCGATGATTCATTTTTTTTTTATTATTCTTTTAGAACAAAGGACAGGAAAAAGTGGAGTCATCTTCAAGCTTGCTGCACCTAGATAAAACTAGAATTCATGTATTTATATATGTGTGGTGTTATTTAGGCAGCAATATTATTCATCAGTGGTAAATACTGTAATTATAATCTGACTTCTGTTCCAAAAGCTTTTCACATTCTTTTAAGTTTCACTGTATCCTGTTCTAAATGAATTTCTTTTGGTTTAACTGAAGCATAGCGGTGATTATTTTTTATATATATTATTCAGCTCAATTTAAGATGATGTTAAAAGCCAACTCTGTTTTAGGAGGGCAGGGAAAGCAAAGTCTTTTCTCTTTGGACACCTACTGCTTTTTATCCACAGTTACAGAATGTGTATTATTTGATTCCCAAATCTGTATTCCAGCTTGTAGGAAGATATACTTTTGTCTGTGTACTTTTGAATACAGTAGGCACTATTTGCTTGCTTGCTTGCTTTGTTTTACAATAGTTGTCATTTCTCACTTGTCTAACTTTTGTCCCATACAACTAATTGCAGTCAGAAAAATAGATTTTTTTATAACTATGGCAAAGGTGCTTTTAAGAGCTAAATCCTGGAAATAGATGCTGGGAGAATCTTATTCCTGTTTGTAAGCCCAGTGCCTTTAATAGAGCTATGCAATTAGATAAGGGATGTAGGTGTGAGTGAGAGCTGAAATGGGACCATCATGAATATGGGATAATGAAGAACACAGAGTCAATGAAATGCACAGTCGCTTGTAAAATCTACCATAGACTGATGATTCAGCAGCTCTACATTTATCACACATTTATCAAGGGCTCCTGCAGGTAAAGTAAATTTTGTGAGATTGTGTGCAATAACTCTTGGAAGACCGCAGGATAAAATAGCATCTATTCATATTTCAACATGAATATATGTAAAAAATCAGGCATTCCTCCTCATCCTTTCGCTTGTAAAATCTACCATAGACTGATGATTCAGCAGCTCTACATTTATCACACATTTATCAAGGGCTCCTGCAGGTAAAGTAAATTTTGTGAGATTGTGTGCAATAACTCTTGGAAGACCGCAGGATAAAATAGCATCTATTCATATTTCAACATGAATATATGTAAAAAATCAGGCATTCCTCCTCATCCTTTCCCCTGTTGGAGTGTGGGTCGGCAAAGCTCGAGTAACACAGAAAATGCTTAAGTCAAGAGAAGAGCACTGGGAATGGTTACAGGAGTGGGGGGGAATGGTTACATGAGTGGGATTTTTCTACAGCAGCTGCCAGAATTTAGGACTATGTCTCACAATCACTTACTGCGGAGCAGAATATACTGTCAGAAGATACTCCGTTGTAAACGGTTTGTAGGATTGGGGCCTGCTGGGGGAAGGGGAAGAGCCAGAGGAACATTTTAGTTTAAGTTATTCATATTGGCAGAAGATTTAATGAAAAATGACTGGTCTTGTCATTTTGCCTCCGCTGTTTGTCTAACGTGGATGCTAGGGGAACACCTGGTCAGATGAAAGTTTAGTGAATTCAGAACCACTGAGAGAAATATAATTTCTCATAGAATGTCACCAGCCTGGGAATTCACTGCCACAGGAGGTCAGAATCTTGCCTGTAGCTAGATTTTTAAGATAGTGACACGATTTTATTATAGTTGTAATATTTTTTTAGTTATGCCAGCTAGGAGGGAAATAAGACTAATCAAGTGTCTTGATTCAGGGAGTAATCAGCTATCACCCGTGGAGTCAAGAAGGAAATTCTTTTATTCTGCACTATACAATACAGTGAGTTAAGTCAGGTTTCTCTCTAGCTTTAAACTCCTTTAAATCATTTGGTATGAAGTGCTGCCCCACACGAGATGCACCACTGACTGCATCTGTGGGCGCACATCAAACTTTTGTGGTTAATTTTCTAAGATGTTGTGCGTATTGAATAGAGAAACACTTTACTCTTCCACTCTGTACTGCAGAGGGAACTATCACTTTCTTTTCCACTCCCTTCCTTCCACGGTAATGTCTAATGGCCAAGTTTATTAAAAACAACATCAAGTTTCTTTTCTTACTTACAGATAACTGACTCAAACCAGCTAAATGCTAGACAGTGTTTTTATAAACTATCTTCCTTCCAAATTTTCCCAGAGTGTTTAAAAAAATGCAGTTTATTATTCCTGTAATAAAAGATCTCTCCTCAGCAATCTGCAGCTTGCCTGCTCATCTGAGTGGTAAATTGACCCAAGTAGCCAGTGTTAAGGGATCTAGGCAACCTCCACTAATGAACCCGTTATTTCCAACTGTACTCATTAGTTAATTCTGTTTTGCAAAGTTGGAGGATGTCATCTGGAACAATTGCACTGGGATTTCTGCCTTTGGATGCATGGAAAATTCTCCTTTTCCCTCTGTTGGGAGCTATGCAGCATGAAGCAGGATTCAGTATCAAGAGTGACTGATCCTTAATACTCATGACATAAATAAGCTGAACTACTGTTTTTTTGCCTGTCAGGGTGGAGGAAGGCAGTAATAAAATCTTGGAAACTGAGAAGAAGCTTCAGAAAGAGCGGCGGCGATGTGTCATTTTGGAACAGCAGCTTGAAAAACTGCAAATGTATCCAGGGAAGAACATAAGTGCACAGAAACCTCCCCAGAGGAGCAAAACAGGTGAGGTGGAGCAGTTATGTACAACTATGCCCCCATCCCACCTCTGTGGTTAATAGACATCAACAACATTTGGATTCTTACCTGTCACACCTACACAAGTACTTGACCTTACATGCACCGATTTGGACGTACTCAGACCAGTGGGCCAATACAGAAGGTAAAATCCTGTCCCCGCTTAATTCAAGAGGATTTTGCCACAGATGTAAGTGGGACCAGGGCTTTTGCAGGATGTTGTTTTCATGGGATGACAGTCTACAGAAAAAAGACTTGACACTGCTGTGTTGCCACGGCTGTGTTGCCACCATGCCCACTGTTGTGTTCCTTTTGCACTTCTGGCTGAGAGATTCATCTGAAGGTTAAGAGCAGAATTAAAGGACGCATCCCAATTTAAGGCCTGTCAGTGTCCATGAAAAACTATTGCTGGTGATGAAGTAATTAGATCTGGTGTAATTTATTATCCCATGAACATGATAATCTCCTGCTATAAATATGAAAGCCTCACTAGCATAGTTAAAGGAGAAGAATTCATGGTGGATGTTAAATTTTTATTTCCCTGATCAGATCCTTTTATTGCTTAAGGACTCTGATTCTGTAAAGTGTCTAAACCAATAAAACGGCACATATTCTTAAGGAAACTTTTCCAGTGGTTTCCCTTTTTATATGTATTTTCATAAAGTAAAAAGGCTTTCAATGCCAGGATATGAACAGTAGGAATAGGAATTTCAATTTGGCAAATACTAAGATGCCATCAGGCTGAGTTATGGTGATTAAAGAGGTCACAAGCCTCAGCGGAGACCTTGTACAAGCTCTTGGCCTGCCCCATGCTGAAATGCATGATCTTGGGCCGTAGGGGGACTGCCCCGCAGCTCAGTAGATGCATGGCATGGCTTTCCATCATGACTCCATCCAGCACTACGGTGTGTACTAATGCTACCTCATCACCTTAGAGCTGACCTGTACTGAGCACTCTGACCTGTATAAGCGATCTCCTCCTCCTGGTATCTTGTTTCTCTTTAGGCGTGGGTCAGACTGAGGTAAGAAATGCTACTGTAACTGTATTGCATTTCTTTGCATCTCCCGTCCTAGTGCTCTTGGTCATATGCGTGTTTGACCATAAGGTCTCTCTGGAGCAGGACTGCAATGCAAGAAATCGCATGTTGTTGTCCACTATGATCTCAGTTCATACAGGAGAGCTAGGGTCTCCAGTGTAATAGCTACACGGTGTTCAGGACCTCAACGGAAGCACTGCCATGCACCCAGCCAGCATATCGAGAGAATTAGGTATACAGGAACAGGACTCAGAGGAGCCTTTATCCTGAATGCAGATGGAATGATTGCTTCAGACCTCCTCCTCTCTGTAAAATAGGGATCTGTTCCTTAGAGCAGCACCGTTGTGTCCTTAGAAAGGGCTCCAGCCAATACTGACTCATTTTCATGTGTTTTTCTGCGAGCACTGATTTTGTAGAGCTGTCTTACTTGTATTAACCGAGAGCTTGACAGTAGAAAAAGTAGTGCAGAAAAACTTAAATCCTAATAGAAACCTAGTGCTTAGAAACTAAGTGCTGCAGCCTTTGGCCTTTCGGATATAGGACAGTCATATTGATAAGAGAGCAGTGCTCAGCCTCACAGAAGTGGTATCGTGAGATGCCCTTTGTGTTTCCCAGGACGGTTTGGAGGTGAGAGGCTTTGGAGCCCTCATATGGTTCTGCAGATGCCCAGAGGAAGAAATCAGGGTGTGTGTAGGGACAGGTAGTAGCCAGCTGAGAGTTGTGGGAACACGCCTCTCAATGGTACACTTTTTACTGACTCCATGCCTTAAATAGTATGGGAGCATTTTGATGCTGTATTCTAGAGGAGAATTTAACAGAATTCTTGAGTGCTCAGAGCTGGTAAAGTGTTGACATGTTGTTCTGTTATCATACGTGTGCTCCACTTTGATTTCCCTTGCAACCTCAAAGCGATACAGTGATAAACTCTCCAGGTCCAGGGCCATTTTGATCAAGTTGTTGTGCTGTAGTAACGGTTTGGTAACTCACCGCTGGGAGATTGGCATTTCATAGCTGGAGGAAGCAGGCTGTTCTTACCAGTGTGACAGGTTCCTTCTTACTAAATATTTAGTTAGTCTTGTCTGCTTAAGGACTAAAAGCAAATGTAGAAAAGGATTGGCAGTAAGACTAATAAGAAGAAATCCTCTCTAAGTCCACAAGGTGAGTAGGTAACAATCTATTTCACCACCCTTCTTTGAAGAGAGCTCAGCCCCTTGTGATGTGCCAAAACTCTCTGGAGTTTGTACAAGAAACGAGTCTACAAGTCTGTAATATACCTCTTCAGCAGAGCATGTAGGTTATCTAAATGCTTTCATGCCAGATAGCTGAGGAAATAAGAAGGAATGAAAAGCTTGAATATAAAACAGAGACTAGAGAACCCGCTAATTAACATAATATTTTCTTTTCTTTCTGAAAGTGCAAAATTGGAGAGAGCTGATCTAATTGCTAATCTAATGTTTCTAGTCTTTTCAATTCAAGGCAAGTAGATAATGATGCTGAGTAGCTAGAAACAACCCAGTTGTGTTTTAAAATTTTTCATGCTTTTCATTTTTCGTTTTTTTTTCTGTCTTATCCAAATTTCAAATCAGCAAAGAATAATCCCAGAGGAGAACAGGTAAGTAACTGCAGGTTTTCCTCAGCCCTGTAAAACACAACCTGAAGATCAAAAGCATTTCTTGGTTATACAACATAGCCTTTTCTTCTCACATGTTTTTTGTCAGAGTTCAATACTCTTTGACCAGGTTCTTTTAGATATTCCACACGAGGAGGATTTAGTGTTTTAATACCAAATTTACTTATTTGAAGATATTTGACATTATGTGGGATTTTAATTTGGAAAAGTGATACAGCAATGTACTGAAACCACAACACAAGCACAATATAGCAATTGCAATGTACAGTTGAATCACAACACAAATATGATTCCCATTACCGGTCTAGATGCTGACTGTCATGACACTGGGTATCCCCAGTTGCTGGGAAGGAATACATGGGTTGATGCCAGCTCAAGCCCATTGTTTTCTTCAAAGTTCATTTTGCTGTTTTTTTTGAGTTTTATGCTCGATGTTGGGCTGAACCACATACACACTTCCCTCATGTTGGTCTAGCTGGCTGAAGGTAGGTAGTACTTTCTATTGGTTATTTTAGAGAAGGCCATATACTTTTACTCAACTGATTCAGTCATTTATCTGCAGCAAAGACCACTCTCCAGTCCCTTGGTGTTGGGATAAATTCAGCAACCTCCACGATGGCTGTGGTCACTTCCTACATTCCTTTCTGAGCTTCTTGAGCACATCAACCTTGCCTGTCTTCCCTGAGTCTTCTTCCATTGTAGAGGTTCATTGGTCGGTCACGGTTTTTTGCTTCTCCAATCTCAGTAGTAAATTTGAATTATATTTTCTCCATAACCCTGAAAAAAGTTTTTGTGTTCCTTTGAAATGACAGGAGCAATGCTGTATGCTTTGGGTAGGGCTTTATTTAGGAAAGCATTCCTGATTTAGGACTTTAGTTTGAAGTACATATTTAAGTGCTTTACTGTGTTTAACCTATGTTGTGTTTATGCTGAGGATGAAAGTGCTTTATAAAAGATGTGTCGGTGGGTGCCACACACAAACTTTATCACAGGCATTCAGGAAGCAACAGCTGTCATAATCTTAAGTGAAACACAATGACAAGATAAACATCAAAATAATCCTTTTCAACTGTTTCTGTCACCTATTGTTTTGGCCACTTCAATCTTTTTAATTAATTTTTTTCTTCTCTAAATAGGTAGGCACACATATTACTGCATTTAGCCCTGAAATGCAAACTCATCATGTTTTCATTTTGCTGAAAGGAGATTAAAATAAAAGCTTGTCCTATGTATTTACAGTATCTTCATGGATATATATAGAACTTAACAGATTCCTTAGTATTTATTCACTGATTCCTAAGATTTACCTAGTGTGCTACTAATTGAAAACAGTTGCTTTTTTTACTAAAACTCCATTTTGTGATTAAATCTACAGGCCAGTCTGCGAATCACTCAAGACTGACCTTGAATGCGAGTGACAGGAAGGAGCTCTCTGCGGCCCAGCTTTCCAAGTTGCCTCTAGAATCACAGATAGAGTATCTGAGCACAAGGTATGGTTTCCCTTCCTCCAGCTAAAATTCATCGCTGTCCTTTTAGCAGTGATATTACCTGCACCCACTCCTCAGAAGATAAAACCTAGCAAACTCTGTAGAAATCACAGATCCTCTGGTTTGAGCTTGTCTATGTCATTCTTACACAAATTTCCTGATAATTATACAAATACCCAGAAATGTTAAGCTAATGCAAATGCTAAGCAACACAAAATACCTGCAAGGAAGACGCCTTGTTTTTCCTTTTTCTTTCTTTACGCATTGATTGCAAACTTATTAGTGAAAATGAAATTATAATCTTTAACAAAACACATTTGAAAAGTGTCTTGGTCATCTAATACTCTCTTTCTGTCTCAAAGAGAGAAGGAGCAAGTGTTAAGTCTGCTCTTTCTCACGCCTGTCATAAAATTACCAGAGAGCATGTGTTCCAGTGTTTTCTTCCCCAGAGCTAAAGCACAGTTCTAATTTGCTTTGAAGCTCCACAGCTCACATGAAAATTTTCCTTTTGTTTCCTTGTAGGCTTGTGATCCAGCTGGATGAGAACGAAGCTCTGAAGGCCGCTTTGGAGACTACTGTGAGAAAGAAAGAAGAAGACTTTAAACTGTATCAAGACACAATGGACCAAGTGAAGGGTATCTTTTTACAGGCCATTCAGCAGCAGAAACAAGAGAAGAGTTAAGCAAGATACTCAGAATCCTTTGGACTGCAAAGCAGGGAGAGAGCCCAGGCATCATGCCCATGAATTGAAATGCAGTGGCAGTGTAGTTCTGCAGCCTTAGATCACGTAATTTCTTTAGCATTTGCAGAAGAGGATGAGAAATGGAGATGAAATACAAAAAGAGTGATGGTTTTGCATGTCAGCAAATTCGGTCTGTAAGAGTTAGCGAGCAGCTGGCTCTCAGACTGCACATGCCGTAGGTTGGTGCAGTTTAGGAAGCTGCAGTTCTGCAGTGTGATTTTGGGCAAAACCTCTATAGTTTCAACAGAATTTTCCTCAAGAGGGCTTGACATTGAATATGCTGCTGCCGTTATCAGCTCATGAAGGAATTTTCTACACAGAAGTTATGCCAGCTCCCTTCCAAAGTCATGCCAGGAACAAACCGAGTTCTGTTTTTATCCGCACGCTGATACCTGTCTGTCTCAGGCTTTCTGTAGTACTTAAGTGCTGAGGGGGAGGATTAGCCTGGCCTGTGAATATCTACAAGTGAACTTGGAGGGGGCTCCATTCACCATTCCAACCTGGTTCTTTGCTTGAACATATTGGCAGCAGAGTTTTCTGAAACTCAGAGGAGTTTCCACTGAAAAGATTACTGTGCAGCTTACCCCTGCCATCAGTCAGACATACCTTAAATTCAGCTCATTCCGTATGAAATTTGCCATCCAGCTTATGAATTCCCTATTTCCGGGGCTCTGCATTCATTCATCAGGCAGGTCTTGTTCTCGCTAGGAAGAAATGCTAACAAAACACAGGCAGGTCCTCACTGCAGGTGGTGGGACTTTTGGAGATGCTGAAAACCCTTCCATTCTGTCCTTTTCTCTTGCAGCATGGTGAGAACACTGAGCGCAAGCTAATAAGGCATTAACATGCAGCCTGCCAGCAGAGAGCTAGCCTTGGGGATTACAAGCAAATGGAGAGCTAGTCATTTTTGTATAGTGCCGCTTTGTTGGTCGGTTGGAAGTCTTGAAAGCTCTTCTTTTTCTACTTTGCTTTGTCAGCCTCTTTTTGTGAGCGTGAAGTTTGTCAGACTTTAACCCCAGCCACCACCAGCGCAAAGGGGATTTGTGGACAGGCAAACCGCTGCTCCCTTTCCCTGCGCAGGGATTGTATCCTGACTCCACTTGTGCCGAGATAAGGCAGAATGAGAAAGAGAGCAGAGTGCAAGTTACTCCAGATGTGGTGAAGGTGGTGTCGTCCCTGTCTTTTTTCCTGCTTAGGTTCAGAGATGTCTCTCTTCAAACAGTTCACGGAGTCCCTGATGGAGGAGGTCATGGAGCTAAGGATAAGCTTAGCACCTGAGAGTTAACCCTCCCTGTACTTAAGAGCCCTGCTCTGCTCCCCCAGCATTGGCTTGTAGCTCCGCAAAGCTGTCAGGTGTCTCTCTCTCAAAAAAACACAACCAAAAAAGTTCATTGCCATATTTCTCCTGCTCACCCTGCCAGTAGCATCAGAGGAAAAAGCATCTTGCATCCTGCAATCCTCTCCTCCCGACAACTCGAGGAATCATGGATCCTGGATTGAGAGACAGAGAGAGTCTCATCCAAGTGAGCTGTGGTTTGTTTCTGTTCAACTCCATTGTCCTGGTTTGTCACCTTAAACGGTGACATCCATCCTGATGACTGTGTAGCATGGGGTAGAGTGAGCAGACCAAAGAGAAGAAATCAGCTGACCTCTGATAGAAATTTTAAGAACTGCAGTAGTGAGCGAATCCCTTTGAAAAGTTGCCTGAGCTGTGGCAACTTTTTTTCCCCAAGAGCAGCAAAACAGCTGAGGTAAAAGCCCAGGGAGAGAGAGAGGGTGCCCCAGCCCACCCCGAGTGGGAGGCGTCGAGCCCGTGACGAGCAACAGCTCTGACTCAGTGTGGCCAGGGACGAGAGTGATGGCGGCCACAGCCCCGCACGTGCATAACAGCCCTCAGGGAGCGCGGCGTGTTAGTTTGCGCGGGCAGGGCGTGTAGGCTGGGCGCTGAAGCTCTGCCAGCTCAAGAGAGACCCTCACCGGTGGTCATCGCTTGCCC